TCATAGAAAAATTAATTTAACTTTCATCACTATTTAAATTTAATATTTGTATTTAAAGCATAAATATAGTAAGAATTAGAGATGACCAGTTATTTATTTAGTCATTTTTGAAAAAAACCTTGTAGTTAATGTTATTAAATACTATAAAAATAATGTTTATAAGAAGAATTTTCTGCTTTAGCTCTGTAATTTTAGGAATATTTATAATATCTCTAATTATAGCAAGATGCCATACAAAAATTTCATGGTTTGTCTACCACTTATTATAAAAATTATTGTTTATTTATTTATTAAAAATCCTGATTTTTATATATATTTTATAATAGAATTATAATTAATTAATAATTTAATTTATTATAATTTCAGTAATAAATAATTTTTTTACATCAAAATTTTTAGTTAGCCAATCAATTTACTCTAAATATTATTAAATAAAAAAATCAAATTTTTATTGTCAGAATGAATAAATGATTATTAAAAAAAAATTTATTTTATGATTTTAAAAAATAAAAAATGAAAAAAATTATCATAAATTAAATTATAAATTTGAAAAAAAAAACAAATACAAAAAAATACATTATAACCACAAAAATTTAAATAAAAAGTAAAATTTGATTTTTCCCTGAGATTTTATTTAAATCATAACATCTAATTAATCATAATAAATAAAAAAAGGATAGAAATATGATTAATGGATAATATTTAAGATTAGAATATAACTGGCATATAAAAGTTTGGCATTTATATAATTTAATAACATGTAATATAACATTATAAGTTTCAAATTTTTTGATCGTTTTTGGAGAAACCAGAAGGTTTGCTTAAAAGAATTTAATTTATTTAAGTAAATTTAATTTTTTTATTTTTTATAAATAATTTATTTACTTACAAAAATATGAATGATATTTATAAATATAGAATTAATAATAAAATGATTCTTTCTATTTATATTTAAGGTTAAAAACACATTTTCAAAATATTATATAATAAAATATATAATACTATTCAAATATTTTATATTTATTCATCCTTTTTTCATCAGATTTTTATCATTAGAACAACTAATCTTTTTGATTTACGACACTTGCTTATTACTTTGAATTTTTATGATATATTCATTGAGCTAAAAATTTTAAAATAAATTTGTG